TTACTACTCTGTTACATAGAAAGGTACACAGCTCAGCTTACTACCTTTCTTCAGGATAGTCTTGTAGGCTTCATCCAGTTGTCCCTCAATTGTTTTTTTAAATGGTAATAGCCACTTGGTGTTTGTACCTCTGATAGGCCCCATTTCAACCAGAGATGCTTCTGATATAGTCACCAGCTTAGGATTCTGTAGCTTAGCTTGTTTATCCCTGTGTTTAGTCCCTAGTCCTGACTTCAGTTTTCATGCCGATGAGTTCCTGGAAGTCTACGTCTCTGCCTCCGAACATCCCAACCACTTCTGGATCCAAATCATTGGCTCCCGCAGCCTGCAGCTGGATAAGCTTGTCAGTGAGATGACCCAGCACTATGAGAATAGTCTAGTGAGTTGCCATAGGGGCAGGGCTGGGTTTGATGAAAAGGGGGCCTATCTTTTTCATTGTGATATGTTCTCTTTTCCTGGGAAGCAACTACTTGTTCTTTCTTCCTTCTGATACTTCCTGCTTATCTTTTTTTTTTTTTTTTTTAGCCTGCCCATCTTATCTCTCCCCATTTTGATCCTTATCCTCATGTGCAGCCTGAAGACTTGACTGTGCATGTGGGAGACATTGTAGCAGCACCTTTACCTACAAATGGTTCCTGGTATCGAGCTCGGGTCCTTGGCACCTTGGAGAATGGGAACCTGGACCTCTACTTCGTTGACTTTGGAGATAATGGAGATTGCCCACTGAAGGACCTCCGAGCACTCAGGTCTGTGGAGGCCAGGATGGAGTCCCAGTTAACTCAGCCTTGGCCATAGCTGGTGGTGTGCTCTAGGCACTTCTCACTTAGGGGGATTGGGAAGAGAACCTACATACAGAGAGCAGATGATTATCTTCTCCAGCTGAGTTAATTGGTGATCTCCAGAAACAAGGACTATAAGAGATCCTTCCTGCACTGGGATTCTAATTTCAGTTTCTTTCACTTTAGGAGTGACTTCCTAAGCCTTCCATTTCAAGCAATAGAGTGTAGTCTGGCACGGATCGCCCCTTCAGGTAAATTGGTCATATTGCCTATTGACCTTGCCTCCACATAGAATAACTAATACAGTACATGGAAGGAATTCTCACATTCCCAGGCTTTTTGAGTTCTGGGGGCTCAGGTGTCTTTTCCACCCCAGCAGAAGAAAGCAGCAACCTGGCAGGCAGACATACATGCCTTCTGGAGTAGAAAGAGGTGGTTCCAATTTCTCTCTAGGGTATAATCTCACCCCGTCAGTAGGGACCCCTTCTTAGGTTATCCCTGCAATCTTTTGCCAGGTGAACAGTGGGAAGAGGAAGCTTTGGATGAGTTTGACAGACTGACTCACTGTGCTGACTGGAAGCCCCTGGTGGCCAAGATCTCCAGCTATGTCCAGACTGGGATCTCAACTTGGCCCAAGATTTACTTATATGATACCAGCAATGGGAAGGTATGACTGGGGTCCACTCGTTGCTCACTGTCTCTTCAGTATATTTATAGTCTCATTCACTTTTTCTTTCCCAGAAACCATTATCTGATATTACTCCTACCTCACAAGGTCCTGCTGCTTACTGTTCCCCCACTAAAGGAATGTCTTTGAAGTATCAATCCTAACTCCTTAGTTCTTCAGATATTCCCTTCCCTATAGAAAGAACATCATTCCTTTTTCATTTTTCTTCTCAGAAACTTGATATTGGGTTAGAATTAGTTCGTAAAGGATATGCAGTTGAGCTTCCCGAAGACATGGAAGAAACCAGAGCTGTCCCAGACATGTTGCACGATGTGGTGAGTGAGCCATTGTGACTACATGCAGGGCATTGCCTCGGGGCAGACCTGGTGCCCAGAGAGACATGAGGGCTTCTAGTTAGGCGTGACATTTTGTGGAGAGCTTTCCTAAGGAGTTGTTACACAGGTTGGTCGATGGAAGCATTGTGTCTCTCTTGGTAGCCAAACTCAACTGCCTTAACCAGATCCTGTGGGCAAAATGATAGGGTGGCCTCTTCTTACCCACCAGCCAACACTGCATTCTTCCTTTTTCTCGTCTTCATCCCTATAGGCCACAGAAACAGATGTCTCTCTTGGCAGCATGCTCACTGAGCCCAAGAAGAGCCCTGGAGAGATAGCAAATACCCTGTCTTGCCTCAGCTTATCAGGTACAAGCTGCATTTCCTCCCTAGAGTATCTTTGGAAGTTACGGTTTTTCAATGAGTCTTTCCAAACTAGGGACGATGGTAAAAGTTGGCTCTTAAGCCAAGTCATCACTGAGCACTAAGAAGCCCATTTTCCCCTGAGTCTCCATGGCTGTGCCTAACTTCCCCTCCATTCTTTCTAAGCAGAAGCTGCCTCTATGTCTGGTGATGATAACCTGGAAGATGACTACTTACTCTGAAGTTGGCTTCAGCCGCCTCTGCTGCCTGCTTTGCTGTGAGTGCAGCTCTCATCTGTCTGTAGCAACAGGAAAGTACAAGAGTGACAACAGGGGCCTTGCTTTATTCTCTTCCCTAGCCTGTCTCAACACTACTCTGCCACTGCTTTCCTGCAGCTTCACTCTCAGGTTGAGCCCTTTCAAGCTTTTTGTGTCTGTGTGTTTGTGTCTTTGGCAGGACTTGGCACAGGATTTGGTGCCTGGAGAGAGGGGCCTATGATAAAGAGATATGTGCAGTCCTTCCTCTATTACGTACGTGATCTGGCTTACTGTGGACCAAATGCATCCTCTTCTGTTGGACTACCAGAAAAAGTGTGGGGTAGAGGAGGATAAGTACATGTCCCTACAGGGGGATGTCTTCTTCCAGAGTTTGCTTCCAGGATGCTCAACATCTGGCTCACTGTTCTCTGCCAGACATTGATGTTTCTGCAAGGTTGTGTCCTTTCTGAGGCTGGGAAGCAGCCAGAAGTGATGATTCTGCAGACTTCTGACTCACCTCATCAGGTGACTCTGTTACTTAAAGGTTTTTGAGTGGTGAATTCAGACTGCAGTTGTCAGGAGGCAGAAGCAGAAATCAACATGACTATGTTAAAAAGCCTCAGGAAATGGGAAGAAAACACTGCCTCCTGGCCTTAACTGCTGATATGTTATTGGAGATAGGTTTTTTGAAACAGTTGCTCCAGCTATTTCCCTGTAAACTTTGGTTAAAATATAAGTAGACAATGGGAGAGCGGCTCAGGAAATGTTCTAAAGTGCTAGTGTAGTATCTATATGTACACACACGTCCATAGAGTGAAAGAGAACTTATATGGCTGTTTGAATCATTTGGGGGGATTCTTTGCTGAATAAAGTTCTCAAGAAAATTATCAAAAACTAAATGTTGGTTGAATCAAGATGGTGGTAGGCCTGTGGGTATCCTCTGAACATAAACCTGGTAGAATTTGTCACACACCTCACAGGGATGGCCCATCTTTGAAACAAGTGTCCCTTCCATGCACAGATCCTATCCTTTCCCTAAGTTGCTTCAGAATTAACCATTCACTAAGAACCAGACCAATTTAGGTTTAGGTTATCTAAATAACCCATTGGGGTGCCTGGGTTGGCTCAGTCGGTTAAGTATTAGACTCTTGATTTCAGCTCAGCTCATGATCTCAGGGTTGTGAGATCAGGCTCAGCTGGAATTCTGCTTGAGATTCTCTCCATCTGCCCCTCCACCACCACCATGACACTACACCCCACCCCCACCCACATATGTGTATTTTCTCAAAATCTTACACACACACACACACACACACACACACACAAACCCACCCAGACTAGATACTTGGAAGAAGAGGTCTGGGTTCTGGTGGATCTCCACTGTGAACTTACTCTTCAGGAACCATGTCCTCGTGTCCCCCGCATTGTGGGCAGTACTGTGCAGCCAGTGAGAACTATGAGGGGACTTGGAAGTGGATATCAAAAGCAGCATAGTAATGTGGGTGGTGGATTAATGGCAAATGAACAGGGATGGCTTTTTAAGGACCAGTAAGGTGAATTGCAAAACTTAAAACTAGCACATAAGGATGCCTTGTGCAGAGTTTTTTTTTTTTTTAAGATTTTTTTATTTATGACACAGAGAAAGAGAGAGGCAGAGGGAGAAGCAGGCTCCATGCAGGGAGCCCGATGTGGGAGTCAATCTGGAGACTCGTGCCCTGAGTCGAAGGCAGACGCTCAACCACTGAGCCACCCAGGCATGCCTGTGCAGGGTTTTAAATCTAGGAATTAGACCTACCCATATACTGCATAGCAACTATGTTTTCCCATATTTTTCTATGGGAAAGAAAGGTTTTAGCAGAAAGGCTAAAGGAGCATCTCTGATGAGTAGCTTGTGAGGTCGTAGAAGAATCAATGAAGGGCTGCCATTGGTCTGGCAGTGAACCCACCCCCAAAGCAGGCTCCACCTGAGGGGTTGGCACTGCTCAACAACAGAGTCATGAGGCCTGATAGTTGCCAGGTCCTTGGCCCCTTGGCATTCACCCTTAAGTAGACGATCCCTGATACAAATCATTCATAGGACTTGTTGCTCAGGGAAATGAGTGGGGCCTCATTCCTATTACTGTGCATACAAGTCTGTGCCTTTAATATGGCCTTTAGGTCTCGTCAGTTAACATCCCAATCAGGCAGGTTCCTTATTCTTTCAACACAACCCTGTACTTGTTGTCTGGGTTGCCCTCTTCTATTTTGTCTGTTGAAATCCTCTCAACCCAAAGCTGTGGGACTGTGGAATCTGGGTACCTTCTTGGATTTCCTCCATGTCTAAAGTGGAGGAATTAGTACTTCTCTAATTTGAACTGAAATATATGGAAGAAAATCTTCCCAACAAGGCTTAAGTCTTTCTGAATTCCCTAGAGCCTGGTTTTTGCTCTTGGTAAGTGCTCAGTAAATGGTTAGGATAAGTAAATGGCTTTGGGAGTAGGGGGAAACAAAAAGGAACCTAAAATCCTTGGCTCCCTTCTCCCTCTGATTCAGGTTCCTCTGATTTTTCCCCCCACTAAATATTTATCTTATTGTCAATTCAGCTCTATAAGGCTCTTTTTCAGCCAACCCCGTGCCTTCCCCCTCCCAAGAAATCGTGAACACTTGAGGATTGCACTACCCTTTATTCTAGTCACATCCTGGTTCCCATTTATCAAGGCTCCCAGCCCCTCTCAGTAGGAATAAGCATGTTCAAGGAGGCTCACTGGGCAGGCGGCCAAGGTCCCTTTCAAGGGGATACACCATAAAGATGACATTGTCCCAGGAAGGGAGGGCAGGGTGATCTGGTCTGACCAACTCAAACCCCATGTAGCTGAAAGCCCGTAGCAGGGCACCTGTGAAAAGAGAAGAAAATTAGAACACTTTTGAGGCTCCATACAATGATTCCCCTAGGTTTGGCTGCTTTCACGAACAAGGGGGTGGCTGGGGGGAAGCCATGTCGTATAGGCATTAGGGTGATGTGGTATGGACTAGCAGACCTAGACTCCAGCCGTGGCTCTAACATTTACTTAGCTTTGTTACATTCTATAAGTTAACCTTCCTGAACTCCAGTTTTCTCATTTGTAAGATGGGGGTCATAGAACCTTCCTCACAGAACTTTAAGCCGATGTTTATGAAGCCCAACATGATGGTGTAAGCTGCTGACCATCTACTGTCTTAATGACCAACAGAGTATGAGGGAATTGGTCTAGTTTCTGTAACATGTGCTCCAAGCATCTGGTTAAATATATTCCTACCCTCCTAGCCTTATGCCTCACACTGTCCATGTTTAACATGTTTGAGGTCCCTTCTATCCACCAGTTACATGCCTGAATGGTTCTCTGTTAATTTCCCCACTGTTGGGATGCCTGGATGGCTCAGCGCTTTAGCACCTGCCTTTGGCCCAGGGTGTGATCTTGGAGTCCCAGGATCGAGTCCCACATCAGGCTTCCTGCTTGGAGCCTGCTTCTCCCTCTGCCTATGTCTCTGCCTGCCTCTGTCTCTCTCTCATGAATAAATAAAATCTTTAAAAAAAAAAAAATCACCACTGCTGCTTCAGTCTGGCTTCTGACCTCTACCTGCAGGGCCTTCCTCATAATCCCAGTGTAATTTGAATACACAAAAGGGCTAGGTGCCTTCATTTGGGGAGGGGGGCAGTTTAAATCCCTGAAATGCCTCTTAAAGAGTGAGGAGAAAAGGGTCCTCTACAAAGGAAAAGTTGTCAACTGCTTCAGCACCACAGGCCAGGAAGGACAGCCCATCCCCACCTCTGTCATTCCGGTTGTTTTGGAAGTTTACAAACACGGAGTCCACATTGGTCTTCTCCTCCACATACTCCAGTGTTGCAGTCAAACTAGAGACCAGAGGGAAGAATCACAGTGTTTAGTGAACTAAAAATCCAGACCCTTACTTGGAGTAGAAGAAATCTTATTGCTCAATGTTTTTTGACCTAAGCCAGGAAGTGAAAGTTGATGAACTTGCATTGATTTTTTTTCTCTGAAAGCCAAGGATTGCACACAATAGAACTGACACCCATGCCCTGCAAGGGGCCTGAGGAGAAGAAACTGCTCTATAAAGACAAACAGAAGGCGCGCATCCTATTATTCAACTATTTATGGATCCTCACTTCTGTGTTTCCGAATCTGAGTCCAGCAGCCTCCCGTGGGCTGTTATTCCTGGAAGTCCAGATTCTCTCTTGGCTCACAGGCTTGTCTGCACACCACTTCAGTGGTATGAAAGTATCAACCCTCATAGGTTAGCCTACCCACTACCTGATTATGTCATAAAAGAAGGAAACCTGGGCAGCCCGGGTGGCTCAGCGGTTTAGTGCCGCCTTCAGCCCAGGATGTGATCCTGGAGACCTGGGATCTAGTCCCACGTCGGGTTCCCTGCACGCAGCCTGCTTCTCCTCTGCCGTGTCTCACCTTTCTGTCTCTCATGAATAAATCTTAAAGAAAACCTCCTGCCTCTTCCTCTCTCACCCTCCTTCCCTGCTTTCCCTTCCGGGCTTAGTCACCTTTCCCGGTTGCCTTGATCCAAGGCCCGATATGGAATATCCAGGAAGAGTCGATGGTCACAGAGAAGACCGTGCCAATGGGTAGAGGTCTGGGGAGTGAGGCGGAAATGGAAGTCTAACTGCACTGGGTCCTGGTGGAGCAGAGGGTCAGTAGCCAGCACCGTCAGCTTCCCAGCCTGGAAAAGAAAAAAGTAATAGTTTCCTATGCTCATCTCAAATCGAAGGCCAATTTGTATCTGAGAAAGCAAATTAGCTGACAGGGAGCCTGGGAGAATTGGAGCCAAAGTCTTACTCTATCCTGTAATCCTAGGACCTAATTCTCTATGGTAGAGCTTTTCTTGATATCAAACAATCTAGAAAGGAGTCAGTGCAGTTGCAGTACCGCTGCCTGCTTACCTCACCTGAGGGATGCACCAACCCTTCAGAAACTTAAATCCGTTTATTCCTTAAGCAACATTGTGTCATTTGTTTACTGTCTCACTGATAATGCTCTTCCACTTTTTTCCATTATAGGGGTTTTCTCTGAATTCTATTTCTCATTTAAAGTGCAGAGGTCAGGGATCCCTGGGTGGCGCAGCGGTTTGGCGCCTGCCTTTGGCCCAGGGCGCGATCCTGGAGACCCGGGATCGAATCCCACGTCAGGCTCCTGGTGCATGGAGCCTGCTTCTCCCTCTGCCTGTGTCTCTGCCTCTCTCTCTCTCTCTCTGTATGACTATCGTAAATAAATAAAAAAAAATTAAAAAAAAAAATAAAATAAAGTGCAGAGGTCACCCACAGGCATGTTACTGCAGTGTGATACAGGGGCAAGTTGAGTTCTGGGTTCTAGTTCCTGCTTAGCATCTAAGCAACTTTATGTCCCAGAAGTCTGCTCTGCTCTTTGTTCCCACTTCCTCTTTTCCCCTTCTGCTTTTCGCCACCAGCTCTGTGACCTTGATTTAATATCTCTGGGTCAGAATCCTTGTTTCTAAAGCAAGTAGTTATTATACATGAGTTCCAAGATCTACAATTTTCCAACTAGCTAATGCCCCTTCTTCACAAGGTACTATTAACATTACGCCAGGGGCTTCCCCAGCACGGCACCAGTGCACAGTCCACTTACCGAGTATAATTCTTTAAACTGGTTGTGATCACCCTGCTCAGTGCTTCTGACCACCTGAAGGCCTGCTAGGGACTCAGGAGCACTGAAGGCAGGAACGGGGCCGGAGTGTCAAGTCCTCCCGTTCCTTATAAGTGATGCTGGTTGGAAAAAGAGCCCCAAGTTAGTTCCCTCTGCGTCTGAGAAGAGAGGATCATAACTTCCAGGTACATAGGACTAGGATCTGGCACTGTCTTCTGTATCTTCTGTGAACCAGCCTGTTTCCATTCTCTTTTAAAGTTCCATGCCAGCCTTCTATCCTATTTTGCTATTATCTCTTGCCACTTGGAAATTTCCTGCAAATTCTTTCATTTTTCCTGACAGTTTACATAAACAACTATAAGTAGAGATGAAAATAAGTACCTTTTATAACAAGGCAGCATCTTCTCCCGGAGGGTGATCCGGTATTTGTAGCAGTAAAGGTAATAGGCGTATGGTGACCAGATCGGGTAGAGGTAGTTCCGTGTTTTTCCCCTCTTGGTGTAAGAAAGGGAGAAGGCAGAGGGGCGTGACCTGTAACAAGGCAGTTTCTCAGTTCAGTGCCTCCCTGCGGCAAAGTGAGGTTCAGAAACGGGTGGCAGAGGTTCAGGCAACCTGGTGTCATTGTGACCCAGTGGGCACTATGACATGGGCAAGGAGTCAGCCCTTATGTCGCTTCAGGGCTCCACTCTGCTGCTCCCCTACCCCACCCAACCCCCTTAACTAAGGCTCCTGTTCATCTAGTATGTATTTCATGGCTGTACTGCCATTAAAATACTTTACTTTCTGTACTGATTGTAAACAGCCCTGCCTGAGCACTTGTCAAGGGCACCCAACCTGGCCCCTTATTCTGGCATATGCATGCATGTGTGTGCGCACTATCGAGCAACACACACATACACCATCCCACTTCAGCAACTAAATGGTTCGTGTCTGACACTGTAGATTTCCAAGGCCCTGATCCAACGTCTGATCTGATATGTTGGTTCCCAGTTCCTATCAATTTGATATTTTTATTACCATCCCTACCTTTAATAATCCAGGGATGCTACACATCGTTGAATTATTTCATTGCCTTGTAAGGTAAGAATTGCAAACTAAAAGCCTCCAGGAGCCAGGACAGCTAATGAAAATTAGTAGAGGGATCCCTGGGTGGCACAGCGGTTTGGCGCCTGCCTTTGGCCCAGGGCGCGATCTTGGAGACCCGGGATCGAATCCCACATCGGGCTCCTGGTGCATGGAGCCTGCTTCTCCCTCTGCCTGTGTCGCTGCCTCTCTCTCTCTCTGTGTGTGTGTGTGTGACTATCATAAATAAATAAAAATTAAAAAAAAATTAGTAGAGCTCCTGGGTGGGGCTGTAGCAAAAGGGAAAGCTCATACCCTAAAAGAAGCTGACAACTCAGCTCCAACCAGTTGAAGAAATACACTCCGTGGTCCCAGTTTGTATGATTTTCAACATAAAATGGAAAGTTAAACTCCTCAAATTTTTTCACTAGTGGCTATTAACTCAAATCGATGAAAAAAAAAAAAAGCCAACATTTGTGAGCAAAATTTGATTCTGTGGTCACCAGTTTGAGACCTCTGCATATTCATTCATCCATTCAACATATATTGAGGGCCCACTGAAAGCCGGACAGTATTCTAGGTGATCGGGATACACCAGTAAACAAAACAAAGATCCCTGCTTAATGGAACTTAGCTTCTAACAGAAGACAGGGGCACCTGGGTGGCTTAGTCAAACACCCAACTCTTGATTTTGGCTCAGGTCATGTAGCATGGGGCTCCGTGCTCAGTGGGAAGTCTGGCTGTCTCCCTCTCCCTCTCCCTGCTTACATGCTCTATTATTTTTTTTTTACATGCTCTCTTTAATAAGTAAATCTTTAACAGTGAGAAGACAAACATAAACAATAAACAAAATTTAGTATGTTAAGTGATAACGCTGTGGAGAAAAGAGCAGGATAAAGGAAGATCAGGAGTGTGAAGGGGTGGGGCAGACTAGAGAAATAAATTGGGTGATCCAAAGAGGCCTCATTGAAAAGGTGATGTTTAGTCAAAGGCTTAAAGGAGGTGAGGGAGTTTAGCCAAGCCAACATGGGGGGGGGGGAGCATTCCATTCCTAAACTACAGCCAGTGCAAAAGTCCTGAGAAGAAAATGCCTGAGGTTTTCAAGAAATAGGCCATAGTGTAAGCTTTGAGAAAAGCAGGAGATGAAGTCAGCTAATGGGCCAGATTAGGGAGGCCTTGTAAACGACTACGTAGCCCTTTTCTTTTACTGTAGGAGGGAAGTCACTGCAAAGTTTTGGGTAGAGGGATGACATGACCTGATGTATGTTGGATTTTTTGTTTTGTTTTGTTTTTTAAAGATCCTGACTGTTGTGTTGTAAATAAACTGTAGAACACTGGGATCCCTGGGTGGCGCAGCGGTTTGGCGCCTGCCTTTGGCCCAGGGCGCGATCCCGGGGACCCGGGATCGAATCCCACGTCGGGCTCCCGGCGCATGGAGCCTGCTTCTCCCTCTGCCTGTGTCTCTGCCTCTGCCTCTCTGTGACTATCATAAAATTAAAAAAATTAAAAAAAAAAGATTCAATTTAAAAAAAAAAAAAACTGTAGAACACTGATGCAGATTTGCCGAGTCTCCTGCAGTTATCCAGGAGAAAGACAGTGTCTCTTTCCAGGCTAAAGCATTGGAAGTGGTGGGAAGTGGTTGGATTCTGGAAATAGTTTAAAGATAGAACCCCCAGGGGATCCCTGGGTGGCGCAGCGGTTTGGCGCCTGCCTTTGGCCCAGGGCGCGATCCTGGAGACCCGGGATCGAATCCCACGTCGGGCTCCCGGTGCATGGAGCCTGCTTCTCCCTCTGCCGGTGTCTCTGCCTCTCTCGCTCTCTCTCTCCCTGTGTGACTATCATAAATAAATAAAAATTAAAAAATAAAATAAAAATAAAGATAGAACCCCCAGAATTTCCTGGAGTCTGAGAACTGAAAGAATAGTTTCCATCATTGAGATGGGAAGGCTGCAGGTGAGGCAGTTTGAGGCGAGGTATAGAGATGGGTTTAGTTTGAAGCATGTTAACTTTAAATTGTCCATTAGAGGGACGCCCAGGTGGCTCAGCGGTTGAATGTCCGCCTTCGGCTCAGGGCGTGATCCTGGTCCTCGGATCGAGTCCCACGTCGGTCTCCCTGCATGGAGCCTGCTTCTCCCTCTGCCTGTCTATGACTGTGTGTGTGTGTGTCATGAATAAATAAAAACAATCTTAAAAAAAAAAAAAATCTAAAGGAAAAGCGAGAGAGGAGCTCCCGGAGAGGAGCGCGCGGCCTCAGCTCCCCGGGCTCCCCGACGGGCCGTGAGGCTCAGGTCCTGCAGCTCGGGTCCGCCCCGCCCCGCCCCGCCCCGCCCCGCCCCGCCGCGCCCCGCCCCGCCCCGCCCCGCTTCCGCCAGCGGGACGCGGCCTCACGCAGCCCGGGCAGCGCCGTGGCCTGTCGTGCGCCTGCGCCGGGAACATGGCGGCCGCCGCAGGGCGGTCGCTGCTGCGCCGAGCGCTGCGTGGGCTGCTGCTCCCGAGACTCGCGGGGGCCGTCCCCGGCCCAGAGCGCGACTTCAGCCTCTCTCACAGCCGGGTGAGGGCCAGCTCTGAGCGGGGGGCGGGTCCTCCCCTTGCCCGAATTTGTTCTGGGGGAGCGCGGCCTGGGGGTGGCGGGCGGCCCCCGGGAGCCCTGTGCTGGCGGGCCGAGGCCGGCAGCGGCGCCCCGGGAGGCTCGCTCACCCCGGCTCCCCCGCTGCCAGGGCACGGTCATCGTGGAGCGCTGGTGGCAGGTGCCGCTGGCCGGAGAGGGCCGGAAGCCGCGCCTGCACCGGCGACACCGGGTCTACAGGCTGGTAGAAGACACGAAGCACGGGCCCAGGGGCAGCCTGGAGCTCATTCTCACGCGGTCGGTGGAAGGTAAGGCCCGCCACACACTCCTGCCCGAGGCTGGCTCCTTAGCTGCTTTTCGCCCTTCCTCTGCTTGTAAAAACGACCTGCTCTGTATTTGAGAAGCAGCAGCCATAAAAGGTACCTGTGCTCCTGCCATTGCCTTCCTGCATCGAACAGGGAACAGGAATGCAGCAACGTCAGGAACAGTGTGCAGGGAAAAGGAGGCCGAAGGGCACGCGCTACAGCCACTGAAGCCAATGAGGGAACGGCTCTTCTTTGCAAAGGGAATTAGAAGTCTTTTAAGTGTTGTTCTTAGTGACTATTAACATTTTTTGTAGGAGGAATAAGCTCCATGAGAGAATAAGAGATGTGCCTTTCTTTGATCATCTCCTTAGGTCCTCCTAAATGCAATGTCTGATGTTCTCCTTGTCAGGACTTGGAGTCCGGGGTGACCTGGTCTCAGTGAAGAAATCTTTGGGCCGGAATCGACTACTACCTCAAGGTCTGGCTGTATATGCATCCCCTGAAAACAAGAAACTGTTTGAGGAGGAGAAATTGGTGAGCACAAAGGAAGGCAGAGGGACTTGGAGGAATAAAATCTTAAAATTCCTTCTAGCAACTTCCTTTCCTTTGCTCTCTAACTTAAAAATGAAGTGGGGATTAGAAGAACAGGAATCCAGAAACCTGGCCTATGTCCAGCATAGTAAGAGTTCGATATTTATCATGGACTCATTTTTCTTTTTCTTTTTTTTTATCTTTAATTTCCTTTTCCAGCTAAGACAAGAAGGAAAATTAGAGAAAATACAGACCAGGACAGGTGAGATGGTGAGTAAAAACATAGAAAGTTGTTACTTGTCACCTAAGGAATTACCAATTTCTTCCTGAGGCTCCTTGATTTCCTTGAAATCTCCTAATTGCAGACACAAATGTTGGAGAAAGGGGAAATGTTTGGCTGCCATAACTGGTATTGAGACCTCCTGGGAGGTCCTTACTCGTTGGATGAAGTGCCCTAGCTTATTGAGGAAGGCGCCAGCCCAGTACCAGGGGATCCATGGGAGAGTATGAGATGAGGGCTCTGCCTCCGTGGGTATTTTCAGACAAGTGGCAGAGAACAGAGACACGTGAGAAAGTGATCAGTAACCTCAAGGCAGTATAAGAATGATGTGGACCAAAAAGGATTAGGGTGATTGGAGAGGGCTTCTTTTCAGATGGGATTGAATTGGGCCTTGTGGGTTTAGTAGGCTTTCTCTCTAGGAGGATAGAAAAGATATAAAGATATTTGTTTCTTTTAAGATTTTATTTATTTATTCATGAGAGACACAGAGAGAGAAAGGCAGAGACAGGCAGAGGGAGAATCAGGCTCCATGCAGGGAGCCCAATGTGGGACTTGATCCCAGGACCCCGGAATCATGCCTTAGGCCAAGGGCAGACACTCATCCACTGAGCCATCCAGGCGTCCCCAGGCATGTTTTTAACAAACATCTTCTAGCAAAAGCAGAGGACTTACACAGGGTAATATTATAAAACATATGGCTTACTTCATTCTGTAAACAGGGAGAAATTGTTAATGGGGTAGTGGTAGGATTGAAGGGCCAGAAGTACTGAGTTAATATGGTCTGTGAGGGGATCCCTGGGTGGCGCAGTGGTTTAGCACCTGCCTTCGGCCCAGGGCGTTATCCTGGAGTCCTGGGATCAAGTCCCACATCAGGCTCCCTGCATAGAGCCTGCTTCTCCCTCTGCCTGTGTCTCTGCCTTTCTGTGTGTGTCTGTCATGAATAAATAAATAAAATCTTTTAAAAAATATATATAGGGGATCCCTGGGTGGCGCAGCGGTTTGGCACCTGCCTTTGGCCCAGGGCACGATCCTGGAGACCCGGGATCGAGTCCCACGTCAGGCTCCCGGTGCATGGAGCCTGCTTCTCCCTCTGCCTGTGTCTCTGCCTCTCTCTCTCTCTCTCTCTCTCTGTGACTATCATAAATAAAACAAATTTAAAAAATTAAAAAAAAAAATATATATATATATATATATATGATCTGTGAAAGTCATTCTAGCCTGGGGCACCTGGGTGGTTCAGTCTAGTTAAACATCAACTCTTGATTTCGGCTCAGGTCATGATCTCAGGGCTCTGTATTGAGTGTGGAGCCTGCTTAAGATTCTCTCTCCTTCTGCCCCCTCCCCACTCATACGCTCTCTTAAAAAAAAGAAGAAGAAGAAGAAAGTCAATCTGTCCTGAGATACACCACTGATCCCCATTGACAAGTCTAACTTTAGGGGTTTTTTTGGGTTTTTTTTCCTAAAATTTTATTTATTCATTCATGAAAGATACAGAGAGACAGGCAGAGACATAAGCAAAGGGAGAAGCAGGCTCCCAGTGGGGAGCCTTATATAGGACTCAGTCCTGGGACCCCAGGATCATGACCTGAGCCAAAGGCAGATGCTCAGACTGCGGAGCCACCCAGGTGCCCCGATAAGTCTAACCTTGACATGGCCTATTTCTCCTTGCTTGGGAACAACCTTCCCCTCTGCAGTATCACTAAAACATCTTTCTACAAAATCACCCCTGAGACAATAAGAATGTTCTCTCTTTCCCCTTCACCTTCTCGCCTATATGCTTGTGAGGCAGAAATTGTGCCGTTTCCTGAACTCAGACCTTGTGCCTCTTGCTAACAACATTATTCTTTGATCACAACTCTAACTTATGTCCCGTTTATAATTCCTATCAGACAGTGAAATTTCTGAGAAGCTGTCACCTGGAGGTGGGAATGAAGAACAACATCAAATGGGAACTAAATCCCGAAATAGTTGCCCGCCATTTCTTCAAAAATGTGAGTGTTCCCAAATACCACTATACCTCAGAGGGTAGAAGCTACCCCTGGGAAGGAGGCCCAGGATTGATCCTTTGTTAGGGAAGGCTGGAGTTAGGGAAAGTGTTGGTTGGTGGCAGGGGTTGTGGGAGGGAAATGGCTAAGGGTTAAGGATGATCAGAATTTGAAGACTGACAGGAAAAGATGGTATCATTTATTTCCTCTCTAGCTAGGGAAAACCTAGGAAATGTGACTCACTGAGTAGTTTATACGTTTGTGGATGAAGTGATTTTGGTCTCAAGACCTGTTTCTCTCAGTGAATCTTCTTCTCTCTCTGAGAAATTAGGACTTTCTCTGCCACTATCCATGGAGGCCTCTGCCCTCCCATAGGATCAGCCAGGGTAAACTCTTCAGTTTTATTCATTCCTATACAGGAAATTCCAGAACCTTCTTTGAGGTTGCCTACAATTGCATTAATGTAAACAGAGCTCCTTTTGGCTATGACTTTTTGCAGCTTGGTGTTGTGGTCGCCCCACATGCATTAAAGTTACCAGAAGAGCCCATCACACGGTGGGGCGAGTACTGGTGTGAGGTGACGGTGAGTGTGTCACATACTGTCTCCTTTCTCTGGCTGGGTAAAAAGCTGGGATTGGGTGGTGTAGTAGTTCTTATCTGCCCAGCTGACCTCTGAGGATTCCTGTCATTTTGTGTACAGGTGAATGGACTTGACACTGTGAGAGTACCTATGTCTGTGGTGAACTTTGAGAGGCCCAAGACCAAAAGATACAAGTACTGGTTAGCCCAGCAAGCTGCCAAGGGAATGGCCTCCACCAACTCCCAGACGATCTGAACCTTCTCTCCCTCAAAAGCAGAAGAACAGATTCAGAGGAGCAGTGGAGCAACAGTGGGCCAGCGCCCTGTTACCACTCTCAGCTCTGACCAAATAATGAAATGTTAGAGAGCATATGGGGACATCAGCCTAAACTGCGTGTACACATTGAATCCTCTATATATCCCACCCCCGACTTTGACCGTTATCACATCAGGCCTTCCTGGGACGGTCTTACTCAAGGAGTACCAGGTTGTAGATTTGAAAAGCTGAATATTAATAGATGAAATAGTCTAGATCCTGTTGAGCCTGGAATTTGTTGGAACAAATGGAAGAGCTAGCTACTGTCTCTAGTACTGGTCTCATTCTCATATAAACTGAACATTTGTATCTCAAGAGGAAATAAAGAGGTTGTGTTCTTTTTATTTTTCGTTTTTTTTTTTATGGCAGTGATACAGTATGTACTATAGTTAATTTTATGCAGTTATGATTTAATACTGCACCTTCATGTTTACATTTCCCTCAACTGCAAACGGTGCTATGTATGGTTAAGTGTGTACATGTTTTAATGAATTTTAACTTTTTAATTTTTTTTAAAGATTTATTTATTTATTCATGATAGAGAGAGAGAGAGAGGCAGAGACACAGGCAGAGGGAGAAGAAGCAGGCTCCATGCCGGGAGCCCGACGCGGGACTCGATCCCGGGACTCCAGGATCGCGCCCTGGGCCAAAGGCAGGCGCCAAACCACTGAGCCACTAAAACTTTTTAATTTTTAAATTTTTTTGGTTGTAGTATACTTCAATCAAAGTATGGTACATTAGTACATTACATGTTACATTAGTCTCAGGTGTACGGCATAGTGATTGGATAATTCTGTATGTTATGCCAGTGCTTACCACAAGTATAGCTGCCCTTTGTCACCATGTAACACTATTACAATACCATTGACTATAG